TGTCTGAAAGGAATTCCCCAGATTCCTGCGAGACAATGACCAACACAAAGCAGGGGAGGGTTCTCTCCGCCTTATACCTTGCTGCATATGCGGTTGATATTTAAACGGTTTGACATTAAAGGCTATGATTTCCTTGAATACAATGGTGAAAAATAATCTTGTTGATATAATCAACAAGTTAGGATTCATGAATATGCAATAATTTTGTATGTTGCCTCAATCTGTACACTCACCAAATTCCGTGTACACAATATTCAATATGTCAAGGGTACACACACCGCAAATAAAGGTTTCAGGGAACTTTGCCTGCAAAGTGAAACAAGACAATGATAACTGCTTTGTTAATTTTTTTTGTGAGAGACAAGTAAAGCATAAAAATAGAAAATACTTATTCCGAGAGCAAAGTTGAACATGTTGTGGTGTAGGGTGTGTTGGAGTGGTCTCTTCCATGTCAAATAATCACTTCTATGCCTGCGATGTTACCAAATAAGGTGGACATTGTCACTACTACGGATCGTTACGTTGCAATCCGCCTTCAACAACTCGTGCATTATTTCAGAACAAATCTCAACCGTGCTGTTGTAATAACTTTGGCTTGCTCACCTAAACGGTGTATAGACCTATGTTGTGAATGCACAGCTTCTACGTGTGTATAAAGTTCAGTCACTCCCTCTTGGGATATTTTCCTACAAGAAAAGTATGTGGCTGGTTTCTACTTCCTGTTCTGGAAGTATCTGATTTCTATGCATACATATCTGAAGCCAGACTAGTCTGTGGAGTACCTACAGAAGGGTTCCGTGGTTCAAGTTGCCAGACTTACGGTAGTGAGGCGACTCCTCAGTGAAGGGTGCACCCTTGCAAAAAGGCCCAAAATATGTCCGCCGAGCTCCTTAATAAAAGTTATACACTCAAAATATGCTATATGAGAAACTCCTGAGAGCCATGAAATTGAGTAATTGGAGAATTATGGCACTGAACCCCTGGCCCGGACCCTGGGCTTCAAATTCTGAGCAATTTGGATGCAGTCTGGTCTGAAAGTGACACTATTGGCCGTTTTGCAGAGGGATGGTTTTTAAAAATGGCTACTTTTTTGGGCAGGGACATTTTCTTCACTTTAGGGGTGGTCTGCTTATGGCGAAAATTTCTCAAATATTCATCGGTCAACCCCCCAAAAATTGAAAGGAAAATGAAAGGGGACATGTCGATCATCGTTTTTCTGTGCAGCCTGGACACCTATGAGAGTTTTAAAATAATTGTGAAGTGTGGGGATTTATCATTGCTGTCTACGGGAATTTATTTTTAGTGGTGTACCCTGAACAGACATAAACTGAAGACTGAGCTAGGCACATCCACATTACTCAAAAACAGGAGCAGGAATATGCTGAGACTTGCTGGTTTTCTACAGAGAAGAATTCGACACACAACCTGCACCGTAATTTTGCGCGCTTTACATGCCAGTCAGTTGTTGAGATGTTCGCCCACATGGGAAATTATTGTCGATGCATTCTCTCTTGCATACTTTACAACCCCATCTCTCTAGGCTGTATGTAAAATCATACTGAAATCGGAAGATTTTGGACTATTAGGATTAATTAAGAGCCCCGACCGTGATCATGAGAATATTCCCGCAGAGTAGCAACCTTGTCTGGGTTCTACTCTTGCCTCTGTGCTGGACGGAGGACATTGGTAAGTCAGACGTATGCTTCCAAACTGCATTCTGAGCAGTCTTGGTATTACAATGAATTATCGACCCAAAAATGTCATGTCTGAGGTGCTTGAAACATGGAAACCAGTCACTGAAGACCAGTGGCGTAGCTAAGATTTTACTGGTGGGGGCACAAAGGGGCACTAGCATCATGGGGGGGGGCCAGCTTTCAATGTTGTGTTATTTGGGGGCAAGTTTTTGTTAGCCTTGTTCAATGTCCACCCCTCCGGTTTTTTTTGGGGGGGGGCACCGAGAATTTGTGGGGGGCACGTGGCCCCAAGCCGCCCCCCACGTGGCTACGCCGCTGCTGAAGACAGGCACTTTCATGTGAGTGACTTATACATTGCATATGGGTGTTGCGTTTACATCGTGCTGTTTGGTGATGTAGTACGTCCAGCTATGGCAGTGGGATGGAGAAACAATCAAATCGGCGTAGTTATTTTCATGAAAATACCAATTATTATTAGCCACAACAACCTAAAGGACCTTTTTCATCGACTTACCAACTAGAGCCAGCCAACAACAGAACCATATGATTGCGATCACCCCACTATCGTTAGGGTAGCAGGCCAGTAAATAGGTCCAAAGTTGCCTGCGCGGACCGAATCACGTTTTGTATGCCGTCAAATTCTCTGCTATTAGAGCATTTCGTGGCATTAGAACTGAATGGTTTGTATAAAGGAAGATGGAATCTGCCAGAACTGCCAGATTGTATTTTTGGAAAGTATTGGACCAAAGGGGGCCCTCCAAATCGCTGTATTTTGCAATGGATTGTACTATGGGCATCAAGTTTCGACATGGCGATGGGCCTGATGACAGTTCTGAGGTTTGATCATCTCTGAAGACAGACATCTTCAAAAGTCATCAGTTAAGAAAATGAAACTGCAAGATCATAAAAGACGAGGAAAAGAGCTTTAATTTGACGTGCGTCTTGTACAACCTGAGAACGTGTAAATACATTACCTTTACTTTTTGAAGTGGTGCTTTTTCTCACTGTTGTGGGAGCTAATGACTGGTCTGTAACCTAGTAGGACTGGTGCTATATCGTTGGGACGTTTATTAACCGTTGATTGGCATTGTAGCCTACGGGGTAACTCAGTTGAACTCCACAAGACCATACCAACATGATCTTTACTTTTCCCGATGAACGATGGCGTGACCGAGTTGCTATCAAAACAGATTTAAATTGTCTACATTATTTAGCGGGTTACTGCCTAACCAAGTTAGAACGAATTTTTGTCTTGCCCTACGAATCTCAACAGAGTACATGGCCGATCACTGCACCGGTACCATCTTTGCCTAGAGCAGTGGGGGCGTTCTGATTTCCATAATCCCGCTTCTACTACGAGAACGACCTAGGCTGCAACCTCACCATTACAGCTTAAGACGATCGTCAAGTCTTGCTTACTTTCCAACGATTGGATATCGAATGTGATGAACTCGACTGCAGCGGAGACTATCTGCAAATCTACGACAAGAGGTCACATTCATTAACTGGGGAGATCAGCGGAAGCTCCATCGGAGACCCCAAACGTCAAACCCCACACATGTACCAATCACCAAGTTCAACCAGAAACATCAACCCAAATCCTCAAACCTTTCCAAAACCCTCTATTTACCTAGCATCTAAAACCTCACCCTTGGTCCAGTCCAGAGACTATTTTCCAACGTGCAAACCCACAATATCCACAAACTGAACCCCCCCCCACGAAAGCCTCCAAAGCACACTCCAATCTGTGGCATAGCTAGACTCTCAGTCCCGGAGGAAGGGGGTCTCATGGACGACTCTTTCAAAATCCTTGTTACATGTACATAGGCTCATGTCCATACAAAAACTGCGTTACACACCACTCACCTTCAGTATACACAACAGCCCGTCAAATGCACATTCCATTAAAAATTACAAATTTTGAGCTTCCCATCTAGCAATAAACGGTTCCTGTGGATCGGCAGAATATTGTTGCGCCAATAATCGATGCATTGATCTCTTTCTTATCAATAATGGAAACAACAATTGCGGAGATGAAAGCGATGAAAACGCTGCTACGTTGCCGAATTAACCACTTTCATTGGTTGGTTAGTGGTTCACACAGTGTTAGAATCGCCATCGTCACCAGAAGTCTTGTTTTTTTCGACGTACTATGAATTAATTTCTAATGTTCACGAAAACAGAATAGGTGTAATTATAACGGAAGCCAGCAGATCAAGAAAATTTCAAAACCAACACACCGATGGCAAATTAACAGATAGTCAATACACTCATGGACAGGGAAATCGATTATGAGAAACAACCTGTGAATACCGCAGTAGATATGCTAATAAAGAAATCCTTAACATTTTAAATGTGTAAAAATTGATGTGTGTTCCAACTCCAAGAAAACGTGAAAGTAGCAGTGGTATACGGGAACTCATCCTCGGTGTCCTCGCATCAGCCGGTTTCACCATCGTGCCGTTGTGTGCGTGATCATCACAAAGAAATGCCAATTCCCCGCGGCAGGAGGAAGCGCCGGTGGTGATGACAATACGGGAAATGGGGATTACTATGACAGCTCACCTTGCGTTTACAACTAAACTAAGACTACTCACGCTGAGCGTATTTGACGTATGATCGTACGAAGGACTCGTTCGTGGCAAACATGATATCCGTACCGACTATGTACAGGTGTACGAACAACAGGTACGCGTACATGTACCTTCCCCCAGTTTGACAGCGACCATGCCAACGACCCGTACATACAGATTTGCGGACACTCGGTGTAATTCATTCACCGTATCCCCAATTTAGACTTACACTTGTTCATCTTTGCGTTGGCTTAAAAAAAGGAGTTTGCTGGAGAAAGATCAAAATTGGTGATATCGAACTTTCATTTTTGTAGAATCTCCCTCCTAGCAACACAGTTACATGTACTTCCTAGAGATCAACAAAATAATCACAAGGCAAATAACAGAGGCATCAACATGAATTTCTTTTAATTGCTAAATATTGAGTATGATGGTATGTTACTCTCCATGACATTAAACGATGGTCTTCATTTCGTGAGCAGAGTCGTGTATATCAAACCGTCAGAAAAAAGTCAGAAGTTATACTGTACAAACAAAACTGCAGGACAAGCACAAAAGGTCTCAATTTGAATTCGTTTTAATGTCTACATGTTGGGTATGATGGCATGTTACTCTCCATTATATTAAAAGATGGGCATTTCGTGAGCAGAGTCGTTCATATCAAATGTCAGAAAAAAACAAGAACTGGTGAACGAGACGCCCTTTTTTGGATTGGCAGAAAGAGAATGAAGACATTCATCAACCAATTTGGAATGTGGAGTCTGTGTCTGAAAATCTTAGGATCACCATCGTGTGACGGCCTTGGAACTGCCCAGGTTATTAATATTTACAGGGACCTGATTGGTGTAATACAAAGCAAGACTGTCTAAGCGCCCAATCAAATACCAACTTGGTCTCTCCGTGACACCAACTGTGGCAAGGTCCAGACGTGTTGCACTACATGCATGTAACGTGAACAACAGTCAGCTCTTCTGAATTCACAACACTTGCTTGTCACATGATGAAGAGTTTTCACAGGCAGCTGTGCTGGAGGATGATGTGCCCCACTGTACATTAGTAACGATGGAGTTCCTCAAGCTCAGACTACACTGTGGGTTCAAGCAATCATCCTCAAACATGGCTTCCTGTGAAACTCCACCGACCAACCAAACAGTTCTGGTAGCAGCTACATCTAGACTACTGTACAAACGACATCATACAAAAAGCTACATCTCCTGTAAGACAAGGAATCATTAAAAAGAAGCCAATTGGCCAAATGTTTCAAATAAAACCAAACCGACAAAATACCACCTGAATTAATTTTTTCAGTTCACTTGCGTTCCCCGAGTTCATTTCCAAAGTATCATCCCATAACCTCAACTGAGGCCTTTATCGTGAGACAAACAACTTGAGGGAAGCCAAAGATCTTTAGAGAGAATAAAAACCCCTGATTGGAGAGGAACGTCCCAGAAAGTCGTCTGAGGTTAATACAAGCTCCTTATTACTTGGCACTCTACCCGTGGCAAATTTGTGGCCAGGTCAGATTTGACACGGGCTGCCCCAGATGTTTGACTTGGGATAGTACTCAATGGAAAGCACTAGCTAGCCACTCCAATCACTCAGCCGAAGACTGAGCCCTGGTGTCATCAGCATGACAGAAAGGACTGTTCCAACCATATGTAAACAAAAAAGGGTGATTCTGCCACAAAAGAAACTGAAATTCCATATTTTCAGTGCTGTGCACACAAGCTACAAAAGCTCCGAAGTTGAAAAGTCCTGAAATGCTTCTTACATGCACTAGAGAACTTGTTTTGGTAGTCCTATCTATCATGCTTCTCATAAATTTCCAACCTCATGGATGATCAGACACCAGTGAAGACTGATGCTAATCCCTTGACTTGGAGATTATTTTCAGAAGTAATTCTGTGACTCAAGCTCAATGATGATGAACCCACGAGTGTCTGTCACACAGTAACATTGCCTCTGGTGTGAGGTATAAAGATCAATATCTCATAGCCTCTTGGGAAAGTTAACTCTGATTGTCCCCAAACAAGCTCAAAGTCTTCCGCCATCTTACGCAAAAGCTAGGAATTACCTAGGCCACTGACTGCCCAGCGATGAACCATGTTGGGCAATTTCAATTTGTCTAAGTTGACAGAGGGTCCAAATGTACAAGTAACAGTGATACAAACGTTTCAGGGCGATGACAATTGACCACGATGCTAAAAAATAAACGTGTAAACCAACTTTTCACAGTCCTCCTTCATTGGTTTAGAAACTGGACCCAATTTCACAGAGCGGCTCAATGAAAAAACTTGCTGAGCAAGTGTCAAGCCAAAGTTAGCAGAGCACCAGTCGGACGTGATACAGATGCTGTGATTTTTTGGCCGGTAACCTGTTGCCGCTAGGAAATATTTTCTGTGCTCAACAAATTTCCCAGCTAAGCTGCTTTGTGAAATTGGTCGTGGCCTGGAGAATTCCACTTCCATGCAGGACTTTGAGCGTACCAAGGTCTGTGCATCAACCTTGCCCTCCCTCACCAGCGGCCTCAATGGTAATTGAAGTTGAATCTGGCCAAAGAGAAAGAAGACAAAAACTTCACACATACATGCAAATTGTCCGTTGGAATGAAACACAGAGCGGGATGACAAAAAAAAGATCTGAGATGTTTTCCAGATGTCACTGTCTGCAGCGTTGGTAAACAGAGTTGGTGTAATGAAGTATGCCTATGGAATAGGCACTCACTTGCAAATGAGCCTTTATGGTATCTGTTCATACTTGCTGATTGGTTATGACCTCCTCATTCTGACCAATCAGCAGCCATGTATTATATGGGCCTTTGGTAGCAAACTTGATGACGTTGGCACGTAGCCGACGTACAGGTTATGCCATTCCGAGCATACCGTCCAGATTGGTTTGGGCCGGACGGCAACCAATCAACAGCCTTAGTTTATTTCTCCTTGAAATAAAGTCAGAATTTCTAAAGATGACTTTTACTGGCTGGCATAGAGTAGACTCGTATGGAATATGTATGCTCAAATACATCGGATGTTTCAAAGCCATAGGCTCCATTGAACAAGTTGTGACACTCAGACAAGGTTTATGATTGGTTTCCAAGGATATGATTAACATGACTATCTACCTGCTTAATAACTGTGGTAAGCTGGAGATGATTGGCCCATAGCCTGGCGCGTTGTCATACAGCTCAAACAAGGGGGCGGCAACCAGCTTGTAATTTCTGGGAACGGCAAACAAGGCTGTGAAAGACAAACGGGGGGGAAAAAACAATTCAAAAGTCAGAGGTTTAGCTAAAGCTGGCAACAATTTAAACCTACACTTGTTACAACGGGGTAACCAAAACAGCTTAATCTGACAAAGGTGAGAGCAATATCAGTCTATATTTTAGGATATGCAATGGAACAAACTTTGAATGACAGATTATCTGAATTAGAAGAACAAGCATGTCATGATTGACAGAAATGAGGTGTTAAGCATCACTGAATAGCTAGACTTTTCATGTAAAATAAAAAACAAAATCACGGACGTGCTCAGGCATTACAGTAAAATAAAAAATTAAATCGAAAGGGCATAATAACTCCATTTGTCACATCACTGCAACGACCAATACAGGTTAACTTAAGAGATTTACGCTATTTTAACAGGGCCACAAATTAGCCACAACTCACCTTTTTCTTGAAGCTGAACAAAATACAGTCTTTTGTGTTCCTTTGGTTTTGTGATGTGGGCTGGAATATACGGATACTATAAAAACACACAAATGCATGGTTAGTTCATAGAATTAGTTGAAAGCAATCATTATTTCAAAGTTCCTGATGCTGTAATAAACCAAACACCATGCAGGAAATTCATGCCTTATTTTGGGCAATGCTGGGGCATCACTCTTTAAATCAAGTAAAACTTCTTCAGAGAGTGTACAGTTTATGGAAAACATAAAACAAAACCAAGGGCCCACTCCAAGGACCTGCCAAGAACAGGGACTGCTTAGCATGGAAAATCCTTGCTTAGCAAAAGTCAAAGAGCCTCCTCCATCAGATATCATTATAACCTACTGTGCATGTACATTCATCCCATTCCATCCACTGACTAATCAATACTTTCAATACAATGGGTGATTTTCACTCTCTTAAAAACTACTTTTACAACTTCAGTTTGCAATTGACGTGTATTTCCAGGAATGAACTACAGTGGCCCTGGTGTTATTAACCTCTGAAAAGCTCCTATACTGCACAATCCAGAAATGTAATAGCCCGATTACAGAAAAAGGCCGACTTTGAGCTTTGTATGTATTTTTTAATATTGCGCTCTAGCAACTTCATTTAAAGGGACACTAAGGCACATTTTCACCAACCTGAGGGGGCTCAAAGTTGGGTCTGTACCAGTTGGCTATGACATCCTCTACCATCCATTCCTGCTGAATACCATCCTGCCTCCCTAGAATCTGGTAAAAAAGCAAAATAATTCAGAAAACAAGTTCTGAACGGACATAACCTGCCCAAGATGACTAGTAGAATAACTATGCAAAAAGTTCCGTACAGACAGGAGTACATTTGTAATTATTTCTGTTAAAGTTGACATGTCGAGAATCCCACTACAGATTTTTTAGCAAATACAAACAAGGGGAGTGTTAAATAAAGGTATTAAAATATTTCAATTTTTTCCCAGGAAAAGTGCAGTTACTCACAAAGGAACACTTTCTTTACTGGTTACAATGCACACATCATTTCTTCGCACGCACAAACACTTCACCTATAATGTTTTTAGCGGCCCAAGTATTGTTTCAAGGGGACTGTACAAACCTCAGTCATGAGTCTCTTCAGTCCCTCCACTTCATCCTCGCCAGCATTCAACTCCCCTCCAGGCCTACATGGAAGAGCCCATTAAAAGATATCAATTAAAACTGAAGTTTAAAGAGTTGATTCAATGCAATCTTTAAGTACAACCTTTCAAAATTAACCTTTTGTGTCTCAGTGACCCTTATTTTCAAATTATGTTTTGCTCTTTTAAAGTGTACTTTTGAGCCTCTTTTGGGTAAATTCAAAAGCAAAACTGTGATCTTCTTAAGTTACAAAAATGTAACAGCTCACAGTTTGAAGAATGTTGTTCCGAGTTGCAGGAGAAGCACATGGGGCAGGCCATGCTCGTGAACAATTAGCACACCCTCCACTGACCGACGGGTGCCTATCTTCTCAAAGTCCTCTCTCATGCGCTGGAATCGAGCAGACACCGACGCGTCCTTCTCGTACAGTGGCTCCTTGGTGCCAAATGTGTAATTTGTGAGTGGGTAGCTGCCGGTGCAGAGAAGAGAAATCAGGGAGGTCAGCACTGAGTGATCAAACACGCAGCTCTTGCAAATTCGCAGCATGTACATTTGATCTGATGTCACAAATCTGTGTTCATATGAATCAGCCACAGAGTGTACATGTATTTCAACTTGTTGACACTGATCAGTATGACCGCCAAGCAGTGCCAAAGAAAAAAATCCTTACTTCAATTGAATCATTTTGCTGTTATCTGGTCTCACATTTTGTCTTATACAGCTGACACTGATCTGATACCACAAAGTTACCCAATTTCCCCTTTGGGAAGGGTACCAGCCATTAAGGCAAGGGATCACAGTTTGATCTGGGTCAGATTGGCACACTGCATATTATTTTTTCCTTCTTAGAAAAGTTGCAATTCTATCCTTTTCATATTTTAAATTGAATTCGAAGTTAAAATTGTAGGATATATCAATCTTTTTGTGATCCGTGGCTTCAGAGGATTTTTAGGGGGAAAGATGCCAGAAACTGCACTAGGCCTAGATTTGAATGCCATCATGTACATATGAATTCAGAATGACATTGACAATCATGGCAATATAGTTGAGTACCCCAACCTAGTGCACTTCAATATTTCCCTGGATTTTCCTCATGCATTGTTGACAAACCTCTTCATTGAAAAACTCTGAATTCATTTATTTTAAGACTAGTACTACACATGTACTGCACTTCCTTTACAATGCATGCTATTTAGCCTTTGTTAACAAGGTCAGTGTCATAAACTCTCCAGGTCTTTTTTTTGTTTTGTATGGCTTGATTAATTTGAATGAA